TTCAGACTCAGAGGTGACAACTGTCTACAAACTTGTACAGTGGATGTAAACAAACACAGAGTCCTCTGTGGGCGGCGCAAAATGAGCCTGAAAATAACCAGGTCTGACTTCCTGGTAGGATCTGAGATCAGTCAATCAGTGAAATCTGGGCATTTCCATAAACACATACACTCACTCGATGCTACCATTACAGCCTGTACAATCTGCACACACACACACACACACACACTGTGCACACTTTTTTGTGACAAATCCCCATGAATAAAATCAAGTAAAAACTGTGATTCAATTTGAACATGTTTAGACCATCTTACTCTGAACTTGTGACCTGAATCAGACTCACCAACAAAACATGGTTGTATCCAGTCACCACCACCTCGACAACTAACAATGTGCTGCCAGACAGTGAGTCACTAATAACACTTTTACACACTGTTCTTGTGCAAGATAATGAACATGTACAGTAATCCGGTTTGACCTTTCAGATTGTTAAGTAAATACCTGCTTGGCACCATTTCCTCAAGACCCAAGTCTATGTTTCTGCTACACCACAGAATTATACAAGCACTTGCACAAACCTGTGCACTAAACAAGGTTGTTTAGATTCATTTTAGGTGACCTGATGTTGCAGTAGGATTTCTTTTCTATGTACACTCACATCACAAAAGTTAATGCAATAACTGATATGAATCTTGTTTAACTATGAAAGTCGTCTCCTCAAAAAAGCTAAAGGTATCATGGAAGACCATACACACCCCAGGCATGGCCTGCTCTTGTTAGGGGAACTCTCCTCACACTCTCCACCCTTCCCTCAGGGAGGATCAGGGTCACGCAATGCATACATGAACCAGTAGGTTCAAATGCAGTTTCTTCACACAGGCCGTGGGCATTCTGATCAAAACATTCACAGCTCTGACTTGATCTATTTTTAATGGCTGACATGTGCTAATTCATATCTATTTTATTATTTTAATGTTGGGTTTTATACAGGGTTTTTTAATGCACTGACTTTATTTATTGATTTATTTATTCTGAGTATTTATAGGAATGTATCATATCCAAGATAGATAGATAGATAAAACAAGACATAAATCATTCCTTACAAATCAGTCTAAATTAAAAAGAACAGAGGCCAAGCATAGAGTGAAGATTAGATGAAACACCTCCCTAGTAAACCAGCTAAGAAGCACATTTTCCCAGTTTGTTTTGACTACTCAAGCAGCGACACAAACATTTCCACTAAAGTGGACCAAAGACAACGTGCTATAGGTGCCCTTCAGCTCCAGCCCCACTGCACCTGGTACCTGGCTGAACATAGAGGATTGTGGTTATTCTTAGTTGTTTCCAGGTGTGAATGAGTCTACACTGGGAAATTCAGAGGAAAAAATAACAGCAAGCCGTCCCTAGATAAATAAGGCTGAAAACAGTGCAGCAGGGATACGGTAGGGGAGGGTGCAGAGGTGGAGTGCTCTTCACATATCATTAAACACTAAAGCACAAGAATGTGACTGATGTTATAGGAACACTCCACCATCGTGAGGGGTACACCTTGCTGTATTACTGAGATTTAGAAGACATACTGTGCTGTAGTCCATCTCTGTTACATCAGTCTGGGTCAGAGTGTTCCTTTAAAGATCTGTCTAAACGGGGGGATTAAAGGTAACAGAGGCACTGATTGTAGAAACACATATTGCTGGTGAATGTTTTTGTTATTTGTCACTGCTGTGAAATTCCATACACTCGAGGCAGAAGCAAAAATGTGAAGCAGCTATCTCAAAATCTGGACAAAGACTAAAACCAAACCACTGTCTGCACGGCTAGATAGCGCTGGAAGCAAGCAGGAAATTATCTTTTCATGCAATTTGGAACTGGCCTTTAAAGTGGGATCCTGCCATGCACACCTGTCTTCATACTCAAGGAGCCAGTCAGCAAGACCCTCTGCTGTCCACACTGAGTGTGATAAAGTCTTAAGGACTCTCCTGAGCCTCTTTAGGAGGATGTCTGTTTGGACAGGACTCTCAGAGAAATGGAGCCTGAATCTGTCATGTGACTGTGATTGGAGCCATTCTCCTTTGCAGGTAGCCTGCACAGCCTCTATTAGAGGACCTATGAAAAAAGGCGGCTTCAGGGTTACAACAATATTCTTTCATGCATGCTGTGCTAGAGGGGAATGAGGATGAAGCAACAAATGCATTTGGTTAAACTATGAAATTTGAACTCTGTATGTATCACCTGCCAGTATGGCCTATGCATCTGAGCCCGTGGCTGCTTCAGCAGACGCAGTACAAGAGGATGTTAATGAACTGCTGTCACATGTAGGCTGGTGCCTTTGAGACAGCAGTCAGGATTCTCTCCACGTACTCAGGCTGTTTGCAGTGTGGAGGCTGTGATGTGCTGCCTGACTGCAGAGGGTTGCTTTCGGCCAGACAGGAGAAGACCAACTCAGTACAGGGGGTCCCTGCTGAGGTTCCACTCCCTCATCAGCAGGGCAAAGGCTCAGCCCTGTGTGTATGTGTGTTTCTGCCGAATTATGTGTGTGCATCTTTGTCTGAGATGCATATTTGCTTGTGGATTTGGCAGCAGGAAGCTGGGAATACATGTAACATGCACATGCATGTTACATGACTCTGGAGGCGCTGCTGTGTCCTGCACCTTGGTACCCAGATTTGCAACAAAATGGAAAAGCATAGCAAGGGAAAACCTGCATATGTGTGTGTGTGCATTGTTTGTGTAAAAGACAGAGCTTGTCTGCCTGCTGCTCTTCCCTGCAATCTGCCACTGCTGCACCCTGGGTAGTGTCAGAATGGTTTGAGCACCCACTGTGCCACCTGTCACCCCCAGGCCCGAGGCCCACTGGCAGTCCTGCCGCCCAGCACCAAGGCCTAGCCTCAATTAGATTGCTGTCACAACCCGCATTGGCTCTTTTTCCCTAC